AGACGGCACCTTGCCGTACGCCCTCAGCTAGCTCCCCGCCCACCCTTTTCCCCTTGTCCCTTGTTGTGTAAGGGGCATGACAAGAGTGTACACTCCGGCGGTGTCTGGGCTCTTCGCTAAACCCGCACTCCCTGGAAACCCCCAGCCCCCAACATGACGGCAGTTGAATCTTTTGACTTCTGCATCGCCCCTCCCCTCCCCTCCCCTCCCCTCCCGTCCCCCAACTCCCAGGTTGAGGCCTCCAACGGGTTGCTCCTCTCCGCCTTCAGCGACCCCCGGCAGGCGGTTCGCTGCTGCCTGGCGCTGGTTGAGGCCATGCCGGGGCTGCCCTGGCCGACAGCGTTGCTGGAGAACGAGCTGTGCGAGGAGCTGGCGGTGGCCAGGTTCGACTCCCGGGGAGCGGTTTCTCGGGAGCTGCTGTTCAGGGGACTGAGGCTCAAGGTGCGGGAGAGGGAGAGGGAGAGGGAGAGGGAGTTTTAATTTCATATCAGAAGAAGAGGGAGTTGGAAATTGTGTGATGTGGAAGTGGGAAGAGGAGGAAATGCTCGTACTTTTGGATTACGAACACCCTGCCCCTCACCTCCGCTCAAGTTATGTTCCCCCACCCCGGTGCGTATGTATGTATGTACGCGTGCCTATTCGGGTATTTGGATCTCAGGCGGGGCTGGACTTCGGCACTGTTCATGCCACCATTAACCACGCTACTGGACGAGTGTCGTACAGGGGCCGTGTCATGAACCGCGCCTCTCGTATCGCCTCCAGTGCTTCCTCCGGACAGGTGGGCAGCGGTGTGTGTGTGTGTGTGTGTCTGTGTGTGTGTCTGTGTGTGTGTGTGTCTGTGTGTGCGTCTGTGTGTCTGTGTGTCTGTGTGTCTCGGCTCCTCCGGATATAAGGCCCACTCGGCCCTCGATCAGAGAGGGACATACACATGCACATGTACATAAATATACATATCTATTATAATATATGCTTTTATCGCAGCGAAGTTTGAGATATAATAGGTGAGGCAGTTTATTTTATTGTGTGACAATGCTCTGCCATATTGATGGCGCGAATGTCTGCTCGCGTATGCGCACTGATGTGCATGTACGGCATGACGTACGATAGTTGGCGGCAACGCGCTAGCAGGCATGGACACACGCAGTTGTGTCTTTGCCACGTAAGATGGAGGCGGACGCGCTTTTCAGTCAGGATTGTACGTGTACGGAAAAGCACTAGTAGCTGGTCTGGGTCATTTTTTCTGTGATGTGGATGGCGGAGGTGGCCCTCTGCGGGAATATGGGGGGGGTGATGGC